GAAGCAAGAGAGTTAACTGGCAAATTGTAAAGTTCCGAATGAACTTGACCGGCTTATTAGAAGCGAGTATAACAGAAGACAGCAGAAGATGAAGCCACTCACATGTCTGCAGGGCAGTATATAGTACAAAGCACTAACTCCTAATGTGTAGAGTATAAAGGCGCTTGGTTCATATAAGTTATCTGGCTTGGTGCTGCAAGAAAATTTTAATAAGAACCTGTCAGGATAGAAACAAGGAAGATACAATTACTGACATGTTTCTGAAGGTGAATACTCAGGAGCTGTCATCCTGAACCTGAATTTGCTTTTTGCTGTATTGCTTACAAGGAACATGTACTCCGCACATCCCTACAATACATGAACATTCCCCCCGTATTTTAGCCTGTTAAAGCTGAACTTCAGCCACAAAAAAGTTCAATTAAATAAATACCGCATTAGCCACAAAGTATATCAATCCATTGTGTGTCCCTCATGTCCACACACACACACACACACAGCTGCTTTTCCCTGGTAATCTTGAACTTAGGGCTGCAACAACTAAATCGATTATAATCGATAATGTTAATGGTTGTCAATGATTCTCATTATCGATTAATTGAATCCGAAGCTGTTGCCGCTCTGCTCCTCCGTTCTCCTCCCCTGCTGGTGCCGGCTGCAGCGGTCTGTGTCCCTTTCAATCCCTGCTGCTCCCCCCGCCTGTATCGGCAGCAGCGACACAGATCGTCGCAGCAGGGAGAACACACCGTTGTGCGTCTGCATTACCCAGATGGTGCCTCCGTTCCTCTGCTGGAGCACCCCGTGCCTCCGCTGGTGCCCCCATTCCTCCTCTTCTGCTGGCGGTAGAAAGCCGACGTCAAAACTCCCTTCAGTGGCAAGGAGCATCATCCAGCCTGCTATTGGCTATTTTAACCTCTTGCCGTCCGCCCGTAGTAAAAAAACGGACGGACGGCACTGCAGCATCTGCGGGTTGCCGTCTCCAGACGGCAATTTTTTTCTGCTCGCGCGCGCCCCCTAGCGGGCACGCACGGGCAGAAAAGACCCGCTAAATGCACACACCCGTTACCGGGTGTTTCACATATAGGCGATCGGCGGGTCCATAGCCCGCCGATCAATTTCAGTACAGCGCTGCATGACGGAATAAATGTCAGTCAAAGTACCGCAGCGCTGAATACTGAAAAATGGCCTGGATGGGAAGGGGGTTTAACACCGCGGATGTCAACTGGTTAAAGTGCAACAGCCAATAGCAGGCTGGCTACTGCCCCCGCCGACTGCCTGCTGTAGATCAACAGAGGACCGCCTGAAGGAGAACTTTCTACTTCAGTTCCCTCCTCTGCTGATTGACAGCAGGCAGTTGGCGGGTGCAAGCACCCTAAGTAATAGCAGATAGGGTGTGACAAGTCCTCTTTATGGAGATATCGGGGTTTTTCAGACCCCAAATGTCACCTAGGGACCCCAAAGAAGCTGAGGAAGCAGAGATCTGCTTCCCCAGCTTCATCTCCTCGCTCTAAGAGCCAGAGACTGTAGGAGTGACACCGGAAGCGATGTTATACACATCACTTACGGGTCCAGTGATCGGAGGAGAGATCAGCAGCTGGAAGCCTCTGAATCTCTCTCCGATCACTTCAGGGAAACCCACCGAGCCACTCCCGGGCGCCGCTTTGTTTGGGTCACAGGAAGACATTAGAAAATGTCCTCCTGTGACCCGAAGGAGGACTAAAGCCAAAAAAATAAGGTTTGGCTATAGATCTCTTAATTTGTGTCAATTATAACTGGCTAGAGTTCAGCTTCAATAGACAGTGCGAGTTGTATCTACCATTCACAACAAGCGTGTACTTGAAGACCGCAGACACTTGGCAGCTCTGCATCTATAGCAAAATTCAAGAGAATATCACCAAGAAAATTCTGCAGCCCTTCCTGGAATGGGAAAAGAAAAACTAATTTCATGCAACTCAGGCACACCCAGGTCTACCTAAAGCTGGCCACACACCTTACAATTATCTGCAGATTTTCTGTGGTCAGATGGAAAAGGTGCAACAGATTCCTCCATTACACTTATCTGCGTGGATGGAGTAATCTCCACCTGGGCCAATCTGTTGCACTTTTTCCATCTGACCACAGAAAATCTGCAGATAATTGTAAGATGTATGGGCAACTTAACAGACACACATCACAATCACTCAATTAATATGTGACATGCCATAGTTCTGCCTCACAGCAATCTTCCAGCCAGCACAACATCTCATCCAGATCTCCCCCTTCACTGCACTGAGTTCAACAAAAAACAGGTTGTTCCAATAACTATCACTGATTGCTTTCCTCTCATGCATGCATGTTGTCAGCCTGTGCATCTGTGTGGCCTGAAGGAATTGACACAGGGGCTCCTTTTGGACCCTGGTAAAAGCAGAAAGACCTCAGCAGCCCCCGCAATGGCATTACATTCACAAAAAAAGAGAATTTCTACAGTCCTAGGAAAAGGCAAGTCAAAGAAGGAATATTGTGTTACGTCTTTTTTTTGGGGGGTGGGGGGAGACCTAAATGTCACATGACCAGGAACTGTCTTTAAATTGAAAACTCATCCTAGAATTACTCAATGAGCATTAAACAGCCGTATAACACATGCACCTTGATATATGCATAACACCATGTTTGACTTCTGCCTGCACTTTG